AGGGTACCAGAGCACAGGGAGCACCAAGGGTTTATGCAATGACTCGAGGTGAGGCAGAAGTGGCACCAGAAGTTGTGACTGGTATGCTTTCTATCCTTGGCAAGCAATTATATGCTTTGATCGATACTGGTTCCTCTCACTCATTCATGTCATATACGTTTGCACATATGCTACGCTTAGTTCCAGATAAGCTAGGTTATACCTTATGTGTTAAAACACCTGTGGGAGATACCTTGAAGGTAGACTCAGTTATTAGAAGTTCCTTCATTTGTGTGGAAGGAGCTTTCCTAGCAGCAGATTTAATTCTGCTACCTTTTGATGAATTTGATGTCATCCTTGGAATGGACTTTCTGGCAACACATGGAGCTGTTGTGGATTGTCAAAAGAAAGAAGTGTTATTCAACACACCAGATAAAGGTCCTGTTGTATTCCGAGGCATTAAGAAAAAGGAGACTCATGGTTTTCTTTCTGCCTTGGAAGCTTTTCGGTTAGTGAAGGAAGGTTGTGAAGCCTTTCTTGCTCAAGTTACTGTAGTAAATGATAAAAAGGTTGAGGATGTAGAGGTGGTAAGGGAATTTCCTGATGTATTCCCTGAAGAACTTCCCGGCCTTCCACCAGAGAGGGAAGTAGAGTTTGATATTGAATTGGTACCTGGCACAACACCAATTTCAATGGCACCATATAGAATGGCACCAATTGAGCTGAAGGAGCTTAAAGAACAATTGCAAGAATTGTTAGACAAGGGGTTTATTCGACCTAGCATCTCACCTTGGGGTGCACCGGTTTTGTTTGTCAAGAAGAAAGATGGCTCCATGAGAATGTGCATTGACTACCGGAGGTTGAATAAAGCAACAGTGAAGAATCGTTATCCCCTTCCAAGAATAGATGATTTGTTTGATCAATTGCAGGGTGCCTCAGTCTTTTCTAAGATTGATTTGAGATCTGGATACCATCAATTGAAAGTGGCAGATGGAGCAACCTCAAAAACAGCTTTTAGAACAAGATATGGGCATTATGAGTTCCTGGTAATGCCTTTTGGACTCACTAATGCACCAGCGGTATTTATGGCTCTTATGAACAGAGTTTTCCATGAATATCTTGATAAGTTTGTGATTGTGTTCATAGATGATATTCTCATCTATTCTAAAAGCGAGGAGGAGCACAAAACTCACCTTAGAATTGTGTTGCAAATTCTAAGGGAGAAACAATTATATGCAAAATTCTCAAAATGTGAGTTTTGGCTGAAGGAGGTAATATTTCTGGGACATGTAATTTCTGGAAGAGGTGTCGAGGTGGATCCGAAAAAGGTGGAAGCAGTGGTGAGTTGGACTCCACCAAAAGATGTGTCGGAGTTGAGAAGTTTTCTTGGCGTGGCTGGTTATTATCGGCGGTTCGTAGAAGGATTTTCTAAAATTGCTGCACCATTGACTAAACTGTTGAGGAAGAATACTAAGTATGTTTGGGATGAATCATGTCAAAAGAGTTTTGATGAACTGAAAAAGAGATTGACCACAGCACCAGTACTTGCACTACCTTCAAGTCAAGGAGAGTTTGTGGTGTATAGTGATGCCTCGTATCAAGGATTGGGCTGTGTGTTAATGCAAGATGGAAGAGTTATCGCATATGCCTCTAGGCAATTGCGTCCTCATGAAGTAAATTATCCAACTCATGACTTAGAATTGGCAGCGGTGGTATTTGCTCTCAAGATTTGGCGACATTATTTGTATGGTGAGACTTTTAAAATTCTAACTGATCACAAAAGCTTGAAGTATATTATGGATCAGAAGGATTTAAATAGTCGCCAGAGGAGATGGATAGAGTTGTTGAAAGATTATGATTGTACCATTGATTACCATCCAGGTAAAGCTAATGTAGTTGCTGATGCTCTGAGCAGAAAGGGGAAGAAGAATATAAATGATCTGGTTGATTTGAGGGCAATGAATGTTGATTTGGAAGTAGATGGTGTAACAGGGTTACTAGCTCGGTTGAACATTCGACCTTTGTTGCACGACAAAATTCGTGAGAAGCAGAAGGAGGACCCAGAGTTGGTAAAAATCATTCAAGACATTGAGGAAGGAAAAGAAAGCCCATTTGAAATGGTAGATGGCATGTTGAAGATTAATGGAAGAACATGTGTTCCTAATGTTGATAACTTGAGGAAAGAGATACTAGATGAAGCTCATTCTTCTGCTTATGCTATGCACCCAGGAGCAACTAAAATGTATCACACGATCAAACCATATTTTTGGTGGCGTGGGATGAAAAAGGAAGCGGCTGAACATGTTTTCACATGTCTAGTATGTCAGAAAGTTAAGGCAGAACATCAAGCTCCTGTGGGAAAACTGCAACCACTTCCAATTCCAGAATGGAAGTGGGAAAGAATCACAATGGATTTTGTATATGGTCTCCCATCATCAAGGGGAAAAGATGCAATATGGGTTATTGTGGACCGACTAACCAAATCGGCTCACTTTTTACCCATTAGATGGAAACCATCACTGGAGACTTTGTCTCAACTATATATTAAGGAGATCGTCAGATTGCATGGTGTGCCAATTTCTATTGTCTCTGATCGAGACCCGAGCTTCACATCTCGGTTTTGGCAAAGTTTACATGATGCCTTGGGAACTAAATTACATTTTACTTCAGCTTATCATCCTCAAACAGATGGGCAGAGTGAACGAACCATCCTAACCTTGGAGGAATTACTTCGATCATGTGTAATGCAATGGGAAGAATCATGGATTGACCATTTGCCCTTAATTGAGTTTGCTTACAACAATCAGTACCATAGTAGTTTGGGTGTTCCACCATATGAAGCACTTTATGGGAGAAAATGTAGAACACCATTATGTTGGGATGTAGAAGGAGCAAGGCAAATCTCAGGGCCAGAGATAGTTCAGATCACAGTTGATAAGGTCAAGGAAATCAGGGAGCGTATGAGGGTGGCTCAAGATCGACAGAAAGTTTATGTTGACACGAATAGGCGTGAAGTTCATTTCGAAGTGGGTGAGAAAGTATTTCTCAAAGTGTCACCATGGAAAGGGGTGATGAGATTTGGTAAGAAAGGAAAGCTTGCACCTCGATATATTGGGCCATATGAAATCACAGAGAAGATTGGACCAGTGGCTTATAAGTTAGCATTGCCTCCAGAAATATCTCAAATCCACAATGTATTTCATGTTAGTATGCTGAAAAGGTACAAAGTGGATCCTTCCCATGTTATACAACCAGAAGAGATCGAGTTGGGTACAGATTTAACATTTGAAGAAGTCCCAGTGCAGATTGTTGACCATCAGGTTAAAACTCTTCGTAGAAAGGAAATTCCAATGTTGAAGGTTGTGTGGAGGAATCAAGATAGTGAGAGTGCTACCTGGGAGACTGAAGCAAGTATGAGAGAGAAGTACCCTGAGTTAGTAGCAACCTACTTTGCAGGTTAACAATCTTGCCTAATAAGTTATGTTTTGAACTTGTTGATGTGCTTTTGTTGTGATAGCCCAGTATAGGTTTTTGAAACCTAAACATGGGAACTTGAGGTGTTATGTGTTACTCTCTATGTTATGAATCTCCTAACCTAAAAGTAAGGTAGTAACAAGATTTGTGATAGTGTAGGTTAGGGGGGGGGGGGGGGGGGGGGGGGGGAATGAGCGGATTTGTACCATCGACTCAAGAATAGATTTCGGGGACGAAATCTTTTAAGGAGGGGAGAATTGTAACATCCCATTTCGGCTAAACCCATATTTTGATCGCTAGAAAGTTCGCGATTTAAAATCGAGCGTTTTAATAGTATTTCGGCGAAAATCGGATTATCGATCGATCGGATAAGTATACGTATTAATTATATATATATATATATATATATATATATATATATATATATATTAACTAAGCGGCCGGACATATATAACTTCCCCGTCCATTATCATCATCATCATCACTTTTTCAATTTCTCAAACGAGAGTAAACGAGAAGCAGAGCACGCACAGGGAGGCTTCTGTGAAAAATTCCCAAGCTCCAATCTTGAGCTACAGTGATCCAAAAATCCCGTAAGTAATGCCTAATTCATCCATACATCGTGATTTATCGATTTAGAGTTTTAAAACGAGTTTTTGGTTCAGGAATTTCTTGAATTCCCGATCTGCCAAATTAGGGTTTCGGAGTATCCGGAAGCCAGATTGAGCCCGAATTTCATATACGAGCTTCCTGCAGCGAGGTAATCAATCCCCTAGTTCTAATTCCTGATTTTCGGCTATTATTTAGGCCGGGGTCCAAACCGCTGAATTTAGCTCCGGCCAGGGTTTGATGTGTTTTTATCAAGAATTTGGCCTGGAGCCCAGAACTAATATTGACGGGGATACTGCAGGGGGTATTAGGACGGTCTCGGATTTTAATTCGGGGTTCGTTCGAGAAATTGACGTTTTAGTACGGGAAGGTTAAACCGGTGTTTGAACTACCAGAACTGGTGAGGGATTAGCACGACATACCGGGTTTGTCGTATCACGATAATTATATTAATGCTTAGAATTGACCTAGGTGAACTAGAATGGCATGATTAGGGGTGTATGGACTTTTGTGCTATATGATAAACCCTGGACTGTTGTATGATATTATTGACTTGCCCTAATCGATATGAACCTTGTTTATGTGGATGATTGCATACATGTTGTCATTTGTGGCTTAACTATTGATATGACTTCATGGTTGTTCGATAAGGGGTTTTGACATGGTGTGATATTATGATTGTATTTGGATCCATAAGTGGGGGAAATAAACTTCCCAGGGTGATATGATGTTTTAAGGAGGATGACTTGCACGAGGGTTTATCCCGAGGAAGTGCAATTATATGACTCCTGATCTACCTATGTTGAGCCAATTATGGTCAGGTCAAGTACATGTGTAAGTAATGAATTATGGTTAAGCAAGATGAGATATGAATCATGTACAGGGATACCAAATATGAATGTTGTGGTCTCATGGTCAATTACGTAGTAATTAGGGCTCCCTATGCTATTACTCTATTATGATATGTATGATAGTCACACCTCTCATGTGGTGGTGACTGAAGAATTCTTACGAGATATGACCACACCCAGAGCGGTGTCGGGGTATGACTACACCCATAGTGGTGTGGGGTATGTTTGACCACATCCGACGGGATGTTGGGGTATGTATGACTACATCCGACGGGATGTGGGGTATGTTTCCCGGGAGAGTTATTAGCATGGGAGTAGCCAGGCGCCTATGATTAAAACATGATAAGATGCATATGCATAAGTCAAGGTGGTTGAGTCTTTTGCCTATTGGGATATGAGGATGGCTGAGGTCCGATCCTAGTGTTTTGGTTTGATTGTTAGATGTATGATAGGGGTATGCTCTGTTATGAACTCACGATGCTATGATTATCTCACTCAGCTATGAGCTGACCCTCTTTTATTCTTCTTCTCTGCTTATGCTATGTGTAAGCAGATCATCAGCAGCAGCAGTAGATAAGTGTTAGGTGGGAGAGGAGCTAGAGTTGAAGCCAGGATGAGGTATGGTCTTCAACTATTCTGTGCTTGGACTACTACTTGGGATTTTGGCCAGTGATCCACACCTTTTTGTAAAAATGTTTTGAGAACGTTTTTCATGTGCATACTAGCTTCTGATATAGTGTGAGATATCCACAGGTGTGGAAAGTTGATGATATGTGTATATTTTTGTAATTATGTAAGTTGTGACGATTATGGCTTGTATCAGTATAGTATGCAGTTGTGTAGTATGAAACTGTGACTTTGGCTATGAAAGCCAATACTTATGGTTGTGAGTATATATGTTGTGATGAATTATTTTGCAGGATAAGTTGCAAGAACTGTTAGCCCATTACGCGAGTAATTCATGTCGAAATTTTATTTAGGTAAATTTTGATAATTAATGTAACACCCGAGATTATTTCCGCTGCAATTGTATGAACAATATGATTAGGCAAAACGTATAGGGTAGGGTGTTACAGTGAGCTTCATCCTTTTCGAGAAAATTAAGGATTTCGTGTCCCCAATCTTGCTCCTCTAGCTCGTTTACGCTCTCCAATTGGACTACTTCTTTGGTGATCGTGACTTGCCTTTCTCCTTCAAAATCCATGGTCATGGCGAGCTTGGATAGCGCGTCTGCATCCCCGTTGTTTTCCCTCCTGGCGTGTTCCAGTGTCCATTCCTCCATTTGCGCCAAAGCTCCCTGGGATTTACTAGCTAGCTACGATAGCTCTTCTTCCTTCGTTTTGAAGTTCCCGTTTACTTGTCCTACCACCAACGCAGAGTCCGAGTATATTTTCACCTTTATCGCTCCCATGCTTGCGATGAGCCTCAACCCATTGATTAACGCTTCATACTCCACAACGTAGTTGGTCTTGAGTTCATCAAAACGCATGGCAATTTCATGGATTACTCCCTCCGGAGTTTCTATCACTATTCCTGCTCCTGCTCTGCCTTTTCCTGTTGCACCATCTACTGACAACCTCCACGCTTCCTAGGATTTTGTCAGCTCCTTTTCCAATCCAAAGCCTTCAAAGATGAAGTCCGCATGACTTGTGCCTTGATGGCCGGTCTAGGGGCGTAAGATATGTCGTGCTCGCTAAGATCGACTACCCACTTGGTTATTCTCCCTGAGACGTCCATTCCGTGAAGTATCTTCTTGAGCGGCAAGTTGGACAGGACGGTGATGGGGTGTCCCTGCCCCCCTGGAAGTAGGGGCGTAGCTTACGGGCGGTCTTTGCCACCGTGAGAATCTCCTTTTCAACCACCAGATACCTCGTTTCCGCCGGGAGCAAGGTTTTGCTGACATAGTACACTAGCTGGTCCCTACCATCATCAATTGATCTCCTTACCAATATCGAGCTTACCGCTTGCTGGGAAACAACCAGGTACATGAACAAGCGTTCTCCGTTGAGCGGGGAGCTAAGCACAGACGGCGCCGATAGTTGGTCTTTGAGGCATAGAAAGGCCTCGTTGCATTCTTCGTTCCACTTGAATCGAGCGGCGGACTTCTTCAACACTTGGAAGAATGGCGAGCACTTATCTACGGAGTGTGGGATGAAACAGCTTAGTGTTGCCATCTTCTCGTTGAAGCCTGGATTTCCTTGATCGTTTTGGGCGCCTTGAGTTGGAGGATTGCTTCGATTTGCTTTGGATTAGCTTCGATTCCCCGCTTTGTGATTAGAAAACCCAGGAACTTGCCCTCTTCCGCACCGAAGAAGCACTTGGACGGGTTTAAGCACAGCCCGTGCCTTCTCATTTTGGTGAAAGTTTATTTAAGGTCTTCCAAATGCGTGTCTGCCTCTTTGCTTTTAACGAGGACGTCATCGACGTACGCCTCCGCATTCCTCCCAGCTGGTTGCGTAGCATAGTATCCACCATTCTTTGGTATGTTGCTCCGCATTTTTCAGGCCGAAAGGCATCACCATCCAACAGTAGTTTCTCATTGGCGTCATGAAGACGGTCTTCTCCTGGACTTCTTCTGAGAGACTTATCTGGTGGTATCCTGAAAACATGTCTAAAAAACTTAGCATGGTGTGGTTGGTCGTGGCATCGATGAGTTGGTCAATCCGAGGGAGTGGGTATGAATCCTTGGGATACGTGCTGTTGAGACTTGTAAAGTCTACACACATCCTCCAAAGACCCGAGCTTTTCTTGACGAAAATCGGGTTCGCAAGCCATGTAGGATACCACACTTCTCTTATGAACCCTACTTTCAGTAGCTTTTGAATTTCTTCCTCTAAGGCCATTTGCTTCTCGATCGAGATGTTTTGATGTTTCTATTGAATGGGGCGTGTATTTGGCTTTACTTCTAGGCGGTGTTCCTCTGGCTGTCGCGGAACCCCTGGCATGTCCTCTGGTTCCCACGTGAAAAGGTCCGTGAATTCCCGCAGTAGAGCAACCATGCTTGCTGCTTGCTCGGACGGGAGGTGCGCCGAGATTTGAACTTTTATTTCTGGCTCCTCTTCTCGGAGAGCGACTTCCACGTCACCTTCCAAAGCTTCTAGTCTCGGCGCGTTCCCCTTGTGTTTACTAGTAGCACTCTCTTGCCAGCTGAGAGTTCCTTTTTATGCATCCTACCCCATTTCCCACGGGGAATTTCAATCTTTGGTGACAAGTGGACAAAATTGCCTCGAAGGCGTATAGGAAACCCCATCCCAGTATCGCGTTATTGACTGAGGACGACAATCCGCCACGTGAAATTCCATTGGCTTGGTTTTCGTGATGTTCGCTTCTCCCACAGTTACCCGGAACGTAATTACGCCCAATACCTTGATCTTGGATCCCGAAAAACCTACCAGCTGAGTTGTGGATGGTTTGAGGTCCTACAAGACTTTCTTCATGCTCTTCAAAGTGGAGAAGAATAGAATGTCAATAGAGCTTCCGTTGTCGATTAGCGTTTTTGTGACTTTGTACTTCCCTGTGCGGAATGATATGACAAGCGGGTCTTTCGCCGCGTTCGGGTTTGCCAACTCGAACGCGTTGAAAACTACTTCAGCTGAGGGAGATGACGCCACCGCCAAACATTGCGCGTATTCTTCAGTCATTCTCGGTCTATTTTTCCTTCCTCCTAAGATGGTGATTATCTCAAGGTCATCCTCATTGAGTCGTGGTTGCCTTCTTGATGGTGTAGCGTTTGGCTGGAAGGGTAGTCTCTCTCTTCTCCTGGTTCGGGAGCGTGACCTGGAGCGGTTCCTCCTTGGTGACCTACTTCGCCTCCTTCTGGGAGACGATGACTCCCTCTTTCGTGTTTCTTGGCTTCGAGCCAATTACGCAGATCCCCTAGGGGCGAGGTTTGCGAGACTCATTTGAAAATCACGACAGTCTGCAGTGTTATGTGTTGCCTTCTGGTGCCAAACGCACCACCTCGTAAAAACTGGTGCCTCAGTGTGCCTTTGGTCCTCTGAGAGAGCCTTGTCATTCCGCATTCGGTTAGAGTGGCCTTCTTCCTTTTCTCTATCCATTGCATAAACCTCTCCCCTATTCTCCGTTCCCCGTGCCCTCATCTTATAGTTATGACGCTCCGGCGATCGCCCATTTCGGGGCGGGGTTTGGTTCCCCTTTCTCGCTTCCCTCCCTTTGCCTTTTCCATCCCTGTTGCTCGTAGCCATTACTCGCTCAGAAGGGATTAGAGCCTCCTCCAAAGTTTTCGCGCGCCGCACTAGATTGTCTATATATGGCCACGTGTTCAAACCGTGTTCCTTCTTTATCAATGCTCTCTGGAGCTCCTTGCTACTCGTTGACATCCTCAAATTGCTCGCTGCTACGTTGGGCGTAATGCCCTGAATCTCGCACGCGATTGTGTTCCACATGTCGTAGAAATCCGTAAGTGTCTCTCTCTCTCCTTCCCCCTGCGTACAATTAATGAGTGCGGAGACTGTCAACCTCCGGCGGATTTGGGACGTGAACTTCGACGAGAACAACGTGGCAAACTGCTCAAAGTTATCGATGATTCCCTCTGGTAGCGACGTGTACCAGGCTCGGCATCGACCCGAAGGTTATCGGGAAGGTCTTGCATAGGTCTGCATCTGTGGCATTAATCAATTGCATCTTTAGGGTAAACACGCAAAGCAGTCAAAATCGGGATTTTACGTAATATCGAAAATGGGGGTAAAATCGAAATTGTAAAATCGAAGGATTTTAAGGTCCATATAAAAATGAAAAAGAAATAATATTTGTAAGGAAAATCATGAATAACACAAAAGCACATAACATTTACAATGATAATTTTTCGAGGTTAATGTTCCAATTTATCAAGGTTAATGTTAAGAGGTGGTGAATCGATGATGATTAATATGTTGATGTGAATTGATTACAGTCGATGGTAGTTAGTGTGAGAGAACTAGATGATGTTGGTGGAGGAGAAGAAAAAGAGGCATAATTTTGCAAATTCTGGGGAAAATAAGTAAAATTGACTCAATGATTTGAATCGTAAAATCATAAGATTTTAAGGATTTAAATCGTGAATAGTGTAGGATTTTAAGGCCCATAGATTTTATAGTGAAATCAGAATCGGAATAGGTAAGTAAAATCGTAAAAGCGTAGGATTTTAGGATTTAAATCGGGATTTTGACTACTGTGAACACACTTAGGTGATCTCCCGGATTCATGCTCCCATTGTAGGTAGGGAGGCCTAGTGAGGAAAAGTTGAAGGGGAGGGGATTCCTAAATAGCTTTTTTGCCAATGGATTGTGTAGGATGCTCGGTCCCTTTCCTCTTCCGCTTGCTTTTCCAAAGCTTGACTGTAGATGCTCTTCTAGAAAGCTTAGGTCGGCCTCCGACCTTTCATCTTCGATCTCTTCCTCGGCTCGTCGATCACGACCATATTCTTTTTTCCTTGGTCCTTTCGCCCTCCTGATGTTTCCGGGAGATTATCTGGTTCCTTCATTCCTTCCTTTATCAGGGAGAGGATCTGATTATGTTACTATGCATCTCCGACATTTGCTTTTCGTGGTCTTTAACTTGATCTTCTAGCTCCACGACGTCTTCAACCTCCGGGGATAATCCGCGAAGTGTCTGGGGCTCCATGACCTCCTTCATGGGAGTGGTGGAGTCTCCTGCCTTCGAGAGGAATATTGTAATCTCTTCAAACTCGGCCCCACAGTGGGCGCCAAATTGTTTAAGCCTGGAAAGTACCAGGCGGGATGGAGGTCGTTCTTGTTGAGATTACACCTTCCCTCTGACACAAGCGAGCTCCTTTTCCTGCAGAAGGGATCCGGAGGCGGGGCCTCGGATACTCTCCGATGATTAAGTCATTGTTTTTTAGAAAGAGAAAGTAGATAGAGAATGGGTAGGTCAGTTACCATTAAATGTTGTGGTTGGTCTCTATTTATAGCTGATGGGAGTTGGTATGAGCATTTAATGCTCTGCTAAGCGTGCACTAGGCGTACTTTCCCGTGGTTATGCCTCCGACAACATTTAATGTTGTCAGAGTAGCCTGTCTTGTCAGATTTATCTTCCATATGCACGCTCTCGACTATTATTCCCACTCCCGGTGACAGTTCCCGCTTCCCATATACATAATTTCTACTGGGCCTTTTCACGATGTCATCGTTTATTGGGTCGGTTCCTTTACCATAGGCCTAGGTTTGTTTAATCATCCCACTTGGCTCAACAGTCATCGTGATAACCGTTTTAACCGATAGTAATTGGCTAATTTAGTTTGGTTAATTTGGATAATTGATTTGGTTATTTTTTAGCTTGTTAGGTTTAGATGGTTTGGTTTGGTTTCAAACACTCCTAACAAATCAAACCAAATTAACCAGTTAAGTAATTAGTTATATTTATTATATATTATGTACACATATTTAATATTTTGCATAACCACTCGAGAGTCAAATGTATTTGTTACATGTATTTATGTAAAATGTTAGTTATAATTATGTGTTGATTTTTTTGGTAAGTATGTGTTGATTGTGATATGTTATTCATTATATGAAAGGAGAATTGATACACTAACCGAAAAAATTTCTCACTTAATGATAATGTGATGTTATATTGGTTATTTTGGTTAACCAATTAACCAAACCTATTAAACTTTAGTTTGTTTAACTTGGTTATTTTATTAGTTTGTACGGTTTTGGTTATGATATTGTATTTCATGGTTAATAGAATTTAAGTTTATTTGGTTTGGTAATTACCATGGTAACCATTTGAGCACCCCCTAATTATTGCGCCGTAACAAGTGTAAGATTCCACGTTTATTATCGTCAGTTGTCCGTTAAAAGACATGCAGAATGACCATATTATCCCTTATTGTCAATCATTGAATAATTAATTAAAATAACTAAATTATTTTTTTTTCACTACCTTCCCTTCCCCATCGGAGAATACCCCATTCCTCTATCTTTTCTCACCGCAAAGCACATACATAACACACCCTATAGAGAAGGGAAGATCAATAGAAATCTTGTATAGCAATAACTCGGTCGTTGCCACTTCCCCTTCTAAAAAGGTTTTGTCGCCGTCACCTGATGTAATTGATTTAGACCTTGGTTGCTCTCGCGTTTTGGCTACCCATCCACCAAACCTCCACCAAAGAAGTTGCATCCCGCTCCTATTATATCTGTGACGCCTCTCTTGAGGCAACCTACTCGTGTCGGCAGCAAAATCAGAAATTGTTCACACAAAAAAAAATCTTGTACCACATTGATTATTATTTACAAGGCATTAATTGTCTTTATAAGGCCAGATCATTAATGACAATTAATATTATTTGAACTGGGCCTGATGATACTAGTTTTTAAGCTCAAATCACTAAGTCTCCAAGAAGGAGCTAGTCTCGTCGCGAGTTGGGTAGCCCGACGTTGTCGTTAGATCTAGACCGTGTTGGGGTCAAGTTTAGAGCCCGACGTGGTCGCGAGATCTAGACCGCGTTGGCGTCAAGTTTAGAGCCCGACGTGGTTGTGAGATCTAGACCACGTTTGCGTCAAGTCTTGAGCCCGACGTGGTCGCGAGATCTAGACCACGTTGGCGTCAAATTTAGAGCCCGACGTGGTCGCGAGATCTATACCATATCGTGAGTCTAGACCATGTCCAAGATCTGAACTAACAAGTTGGAAGTAAGAAAGCAAGCCATGTGGGAGAGGCAAGTAACAAGACAACAGTTCCAAGATAAAGAGCAGGAGTTTAACAGAGCAACTGCCGATTATCCCAAGGGCAAGGACAAGTCAGCCACGTCCGAGGAAGAAGGGGAGCAGTTCTTTTTGGAAGTTACTCTCAAACGATTTTTTTATGACGGTTACCACTTCAAGGCTATAAAT